CAAATCCTCAGGAGAAAGCTTAAACAAGAACATTTCAAATGAAAATGGTGTTGATCATAATGATAAAAATCAAAGAGAAAATTCAGGATTAAACACACAGTGAAAGCATCGGTCCAATAATCCCTCACGTCTGAAATCCCCCTGCACAGTGTTTCGTGATCATAAACACACAACTGATTAAAAATAAGTTAGATCAGGCCATGATCATTGTGGGGACTTTGGCCCCAGCCGTTGTTTCAAATTCTTCTGGAACAGAAAGGTATAACCAACTGAGGTCCATGGCCAAGCTTTAGAGAATCCTAAACTGAAATAGCAATTAATTGCCTTTTCCAAGGACTCCTAGTTTTCATCAAATTCCCAAGGGCATCCATGACATCCATGACCTTCCCCAAAGGGTTGCTAGGGATGGTGCAAAACTATCTGTTACTTGCTTCACTGAAATTTCTTCAAATGTTTTACCAAACATAAATGGCTATTTCTCAGCAAGAAGAGTTCATATCAGAACAAATAGAACTGGTATTAGGTTTCTTCGATGTACCATGAGACTTCTAGAACATAGTACCACTTTTTTTTTAAATAAAGCTTCAGTTTACATTTCATTAAAAGTGTTCTAAAAGGCATCAAAGAAATTATGTCATCACATTAAAGGAAAAATTCAGAAGGAAAAATAACAGTCTGTTTCTCAACCTTAGATAAGGTGCTTTTAGGCATCTAAGATGATTTCTCAAATGTCCGAATGTCTGATGACATTAGTCAGTGACCCAGATAATTAAGTGCTCCCTGTTTTCTATTCTGATGTTATGTCTTAGGAGCAGAATCCCAAAGGACACACACGCTTCTCCACAGTGGGGAAGGATGTGATCAAGGGCTTGATTCGGGCATTCCCTGTCCCCTAGACAAATACCAACAAACCCCCTACCATATTTAGGATAATTACATGAATGGTCACCTGACTGATACCTTCCCATGGCTGAGATGCAGAAACCTAGTGACAGCAGGTCTTGTTTGACAAGAGATCTGTTAATCTCTCTCTTTCCCCTAAGGCAGAATTAATTCTGAAACTCTAAATAAAACTCAGAGCCCTTGATAGGCACTGACACAGAAAGACCACATATTTCACTCCCTTTAATGTTTGATTACCTATCTGATCACATAGCAGACATGGTATCTAGCACTAGTGATCAAATAAAGACGTCAGCCTGATTTGGACCAACTCTTAGGCGTATGCTCAAGGCCCTTCACCCACCTTGTGTCAAACTTCCCCAGAGTCCATTCACATGCTGTCCAAGGCAGAAGCTCCCTGTTGAGCCATAAGCATCAAGTGCAAAAATTTATAGGAAAAACTGCACATGGGGACCACACTGGAGCAATATGCATTTTGAAAAGCAAAATCTTCAATGGCTAATGTAAAACATCATTCACGTGGAATTTAAGAGGTAAATGCATCCATATAAGTGCCAGGCATATGCTATTTGGAATGTATACATTGTGAAGAAAATAAAAAATGGGAAGATTAGCAGAGTAGAAAGCAAACAAGAATTGCCCTCTGAGAGAGAAGTAGGCCAGCGTCAGTGCCATTTGAGTTATGCTATTCCTAACCCTGAACCTTTTGTTGCACATGACTGAAGTTCTGGAATATTTTAGAACACTCGTTGCTTTTAAAAAGAAGTCTTTTCACTCTGGTAGGTCACATTACAGACCAGAGACCACAAATTTATTTCAAGTTCAATTTTTTGGTTTTCAAAATCACAAACTTAATTGCAAACACTCCTTCATGACTCCAAAAGGGAGATATATGTCACACTGCTAAGAAATCTTTAGTTCCCAACATTACGAGGTAGGAATTTTGTAGTTTAAGCCAGAAAATGGAGATATTGCCCAATTTGAAAAGGGCTGCCTGACAAACAAGGAAGATGTTTTGGTCAGGATACACATGGAGCCCAGCAGATACTGCTTCAGGAAGGCAGGCCAAGGTTGAGCTCTCCTTTTCCCAAGAAACTTCCCCTCTTACTTTCCAACCCCCCCCCCCCCAACCTCCTTTGGGGCCTGGGCTGGGGCTGGGTCTCAGACATTTCCCAGACTATGTTCTGCTGCTGGACCCAAGACACAGGCAGGCAGAGAACTAGGACAGACTCAAGTCTCATCACACGTTTTATGAATTACAGTGCCTGGGAAGCATCAGCTTTAAGGAAAGGCAAAGGCAGAGATAAAGAAAATGTGCAGAAAGTACATAAAGATAAATGCCTGTAAAATCACTGTTGTTTTAATGCATTCCATATTGAGGATATAAAAAATGTGAATATTCTCGATGATTTAATGGCACTAGTGTCCAGCTAAGACCTGTTTCTCCAACTGGATGACCATGCTATTTTTATGCAAATATTTATAGTAGCTGATCCTGATTTTTCAGTTACAGTTCTGGGGACCTGGGTTAGCGCAGAAAAATGCTTTCAAAATGTGGGGCACATCACTTTCTCTCATGAAAGCTAATAAAGCTGAGACAGATCTTCTGGGGTCCAAGAGCAATGTTTCTCTCTCTGCAGGCGATGTGACTGTTTAGTGCTATGGACTAACTTCTTCCTTCTGGCTCATTGTTGGACAGGATTGTTCTCAGTCACTAACCTGTTAGACCTGGGTTCAAATTCTGACTTTGAATCTTACAGACTCTGAAAGCTTTAGGAAGTTACTTAATCCGTATAAGTCATAGTTTTCTCATCTATAAAATGAAGATAATGATACTTTCTGTGATGTGGGTAAAGATTAAATGGTATATAGTACTGCAGGTCAAGTGCTCGGCAGAGTACCTGATACACACTGTGAGCATAAAATATACATAATCTATTACTGTTATTGTAATTACTATTATTAATATTATCTAGAGCATAGATAATATTACGCCCTTCAGAGGCTCACAGCTTCTCAGAACAGTAGACTAGGAGTCAGGAAACATACGTTATAGTTTTGCTGAATTCTCATCACAGGACCAATCTCCAAGAGGTAATTCAACCTTTCAGGGTCTCAGTTTTCTCACCAATAAAAGAGATGTGACGGTAACATCCCTGTGATCTCACATTAGCTTTTTAAGAAAAATTTTGGTCCTAATATATAATTCCAAAGTAGACATGTAGATACATCTAAAATTAACAGTGTTGGGCGCCTGGGTGGCTCAGTTGGTTAAGCGACTGCCTTCGGCTCAGGTCATGATCCTGGAGTCCCTGGATCGAGTCCCGCATCGGGCTCCCTGCTTGGCAGGGAGTCTGCTTCTCCCTCTCCCACTCCCCATTTGTGTTCCCTCTCTCGCTGTGTCTTTCTCTGTCAAATAAATAAATAAAATCTTAAAAAAATAAATAAATAAAAAATAAAAAAAAAATAAAATTAACAGTGTTTTTAAGAACCAATAGACAGAACATTCCCGCATTTTAAAATTAAAATTAAGCCTTTAAGGATTTTAATTTGTATACTTATCTCAGGAAAAGAAATTCTTGATTTAATCACTAAAATTGGTCACACTGTATAAAAATCTGGTTATCATCAAATTAATACTAAGATTTTTAAGTGAAATATTAATTGATTTAGAGTTTGAATATATTAAATACTATCCTTGAAAATGTTGAAAATTTGAGAACTGACCTATCCATTTAATACACGGCCACTTAATATTGAGAATTTATGGGGCGCCTGGGTGGCTCAGTCGTTAAGTGTCTACCGTCGGCTCAGGTCATGATCACAGGGTCCTGGGATCGAGCCCCGCATCTGGCTCCCTGCTCCGCGGGAAGCCTGCTTCTCCCTCTCCCACTCCCCCTGCTTGTGTTCCCTCTCTCGCTGTGTCTCTCTCCGTCAAATAAACAAATAAAATTCTTAAAAAAAAAAAAATATTGAGAATTTATTTGTTTTAGCATTCAACTATTCCTAATGATGTAACTATCCTACGAGGATTTGGCACCTGAAAAGGATGATACATTTTAAAAGATTGTTAGAGATTCACTTCTAACAAGATTTAAGGTCACAGAGCCGGCACAAAGCAGAAGCAAAATTTGAACCCAGATCTTTCTGTCAGTACAGCCCATGATCTTTCCACAGGCCACAGAGAGCTACTCCACTTTTGTCTTAAACTTCTGTTGGGTCTCGTGAGTGTCTTGATCAGAGCTGGCAAACATTCACTGATTTATTCAAAATTTGTTGATCTCTTCCATATGGACTGAATCTAGGAAAGACAAATTCTGCCTTATTGCTGAACCAATAAGAAATCCTCGGACGTAATGGAGTTACGTTATTCAGAAATTCTTTCCTTATATGAAATATAGGAAAAAGCATTGATAGAAAGCTTAATTTTTAGAGTCTATCTTATACATAAATGCAATATGGATACGATTTATCTGAAAATCTAAATACTCTGGAACCCTGCTATAACCTTCTTTGTTTTTAGACAGAATTTGCTATCAGCTAGGCCTGCCTTAGACCCTATTCAAACATATTTATTTAACAAATGCTATAAGGTCCTCTTAAAAGATACATTCCAAGATGAATTTGTTGTGGTGTGCCAAAAAACATCCAAAGGATATGAGCTCCTTTCCCTTTCTCCTATCTTGGATGAATTGCCAAATATATTCTTTGCTTGAAACAAATCTAAACCACAAATGCTTGTCTTTCATGGGAAAAAAACAAACAAAAAACAAAAAAACTTTCAAGTAGTCAGAGCCTCAATTTTTCACACACTTTGCTGGCACACATGCTAGATGAGGGATATCACTCAAGAAACTTGGCCATTACTTTCTTAAACACTTAAGAAGTACATAACCCCTCAAAAGATAAGCCAATTGCCTTCTTGAGTATCCCACAGAAACATAACGTCATCCCTAACAGGTCCTATTCCTCATACATACCTCATTTCCAACTTGAAAATGAATGTGCATTCCAAATCCACTACAACCTGTGATGGGCAACTAAGCAATCCATGTTCACTCGCTGCTGACAATTCACAACATGACTGCAAAATTTACCTCTCAAGTTCTGCAATCTTCTTGTCCTTGTCATTCTTTTCATTCTCCACCTCCTTGAGGATCTCCAGCAACCGGTCAACTTCCGCTTGGGCCTTGCCACACTCATCACGGTAGTAAGATGCCTCTTTATCAAGTTGTTTTATTCGGTCTGCAAACTCGGGGTTCATCCTGGAGTCATCTTCAACATTATGAGCCTTCAACATTATATTTTTAAAGAATGTAGTTAAGACAACAACTTAGAACGATAGGTAGTGTAGTAACCAATGGCCCAGAAATTATCTTTGGAGGAAAAATAATAACCATCAAGAATTATGGGTATACTGTCAGTTAAAAGGCAAAATGGAAAATCACACATTTCAGCTACCTTAAAACAATGCTGATTTTAAATTTATTACAGTTTCACAAGAGAGTTTCTTTTATTGTTAATATTTTGTTGCATTAAATGTTACTACTTTTGGGGGTTTTTTTTCCCCCCACCAAGAAATGGGGGATGGGTGGGGTGAGACACCGTGATATCTTTATTCCTGTTGCTTTGGCAAGCAGAACTAACACAATTCAACTCCTCACAGTTAAGGAGGTGATTCATACCAACAGCTTCCTTTTCCAGTAGAGAAACTGAGATAAAACAATATTAAATTATTTTTCCAAGAACCATTGAGGGTCTATGTAAAGCCAGGTAACATGTAAAAGACTGGTTGACTGATCACTGAACACCATCCCACTGAGAAATTTCAGCAGAAGATGTAGGTTGACAGAAAGACTTGCAAGTGAGGAAGGGCTTTCCAGCTAACAGTCATACCCATAAATTCTTGTTCTCTTTATTAAATTTAACCTGAACCAGGAGGAAGATGAGCTAATTCATGAACAAGCACACAGACGAGAATCTGCAAACACATGCATGGGTGGGTGGCAGCTTCTCACACAAGAACACACACAGGCAACAACACAGCAAAAACACTGCAGAATAATTTGCAGCCAAAGTATTTGTGATTTTGTGTCTGAAAGTGTGTTACCCAAAAGAAACTTTTGGCTGAAATATTCTCAGACAGATGGAAATAACACTGCACTGCAATGTTTTGCCTACCCCTTGTTTCCCATTATTCCTAATTGACTTCTTCAAAGAGTAGGCAGGGAAAAAACAAGTAGTTTAACAACAGTGCACATTCAACAGAGAAAGTTCAGAGAAGTCATATATGTATGTATCTCCAAAATCCATGTGTGAAATCATACAATGTTAACAATTTATTAGGACTTAAGTTGTTCTGCTGTCTTGCTATATAGAACAGATGTTCATTGTGTTTTTATATCTTTTTGTTTAATTTCAGGGAAAAAACAAGGCAAGCAAGCTACAGCTACTGTGGGGTTAAATGAATCATGCATGGTTAGAAAAATTAATAGTAATAAGTACTACTGTTACAAGGTTGACAGGTTTTGCAATGATTTAGTTGAAAAAATTAAAAAAATTAGTATAAAAATAAATTTCTTATTTATGACAAAATAATCATTTTTAGAATAATATTCTTGCATGTAACATATTATTTAAGCATGAGGATAGGAGGAAAATAATTTGCTTTCATGTTCTTTAATCTAAGATTTCCTTATTCAAGAAATAAACTCAACTATGCAAAAAGAACTTGGAGAAATTTATCAATTCAACACTACTATCATGTACTGGCTTATTCCCTTTTACCAACATTTCTCAGAAAGCATTTATTTTTATTTACTTAGTGTATATATTAGATTTCATTCTAATAGATTAGTGAGCTTTTTCAGTATAATTAAAATAATCTGAAAGAGAATTCTGAGCTAATATGCCTTTAGAAGTTTATTCATCTAACAATTTTATTTTAAATTGAAGTAATGAGTATTTAAATTTGTTAATCTCCACTTTTAAAATGTAGAGTCGATATTCTACTTTAAAAGAAAATAACTACTCCATATACTTATTTCTATTTGTGATAAGAATCAATTCATTACTCTTGTATCAGAAAAGCACTGAAAATATAATTTTAAAAATTCCTAAGAAAAAGAAAACAAAATATTGATGTTAATTCTCTTCCACTTTTAGGCCATATTACCATTATTTTATGGCAACTAAAAAGCTTTTTCATGACATTTTCTCAAACTACCTGACCAACAATATTAAGATCTTTAAAAAAGAATTCATGAGCTGTGCTAGAAACACACAAAACAAATATAAATATGCCTTGATTTCGTGTTTCTGATTTGAGTTAAGATTCCTTTCTTGACTCTGATTTAAAGATTCACAAAGAGCTAGCAGTTCAGTTAGCCACTGTGCTTTATTTTGGTTGTTTTTATTCTTACGATTATTATTATCATTATTTTTAGTAAATGGGCACATAATTACTAGTTGTGAGACCTAGCTTCTAAATCTAGCCCTGTGTCTTATGACTACTACGGGCAAAGGAGCTAGCCTCTCCAAGGACAGCAAAAGCTACCATATAACAAACACGGAGAAGGTATTATTCACTTGTGTTCTTATTATGAGTATTATTTTATGATATGCATCCCACCAGTGGGGCTTGTTATACAGCTAAGTTAATAGGTCTATTTAGTTTCTCATCAAGATACTACATACATCTTTAGAGAAGCCTCCCTGCTAGGCTTACAGAAAAAGCAGTCTACTGGTGAATGGGTAACTGAGCACATTCTTTATTTTAGCTCTGGGAAGAGAAGATAACCCAAGGCCAGCTTTCGGTACTGTGTGAAATTAGGTGGGTTGGTAATCTTTTCAACCGAACAAACGAATATGGTTAAAGGACTCATAGGATGTTTAGAAGTACAGAAAGCCTAGGAAGACATGCCTGAATCTAGACCACTGTTGGCCTCATGTGATATTTAAGTTAGATCATGTTATTAAAACAGATCATAGCCAAGTTTACAGTTAGCCTGGTATCTCTTAGATAATACTTGTAGGTGCTAATGATTCTTCCTCTTAAAAGGAATAGGCAACCACAAGAATACCTTTGAGTGAAATACATCTCCATATCAATGATAGGTGCCAGAATTCCCCAAAGGGTTATGAAATAAAGGTGTAAATAGATACCATTTAAAAATTGTTAAGTCAATAGAAAGCTTTAAGAAAGAGTCATATAGAGATGGATGAGTAACAGTTGCTTCTGGGTCATCGCTAGTGCCCATGTGAAGACTCAAGGGAGGAGAGTTTCACCTGACTGACAGCTGGTGAGTCCCTGATCCAACCCCAGTAGTGGGGGCAAAAGTCTCCACAGAATTTATAAAAGATATTGCAGGTAACCACCTCTATTCAGCTTGAATCATAACTTTTCAGAGGATGGGCTGAAATTGTTAGCAGTGTAGCATGAGTGTGTTATACTATGATCTACAAACATGAGGGTTATACTATACTAAAGAAATATAGGAGGAGGGGCGCCTGGGTGGCTCAGATGGTTGAGCGTCTGCCTTCAGCTCAGGTCATGATCCCAGGGTCCTGGGATCGAGTCCCGCATCGGGCTCCATGCTCCTTGGGAGCCTGCTTCTCCCTCTGCCTCTCTCTCTCTCTGTCTCTCATGAATAAATAAATAAAATATATAAAAAAAAAAGAAAAGAAAAGAAATATAGGAGGAAATTGAGCTTAGAAAGCAATGCTTCCTTCCAAGTTATAAGGCCAGAGCCTCCTCTAAAAATGAAGTGAAGGAAGCACTTTGTTAGCATTTAGCAATGCTCTTGCCTTTTCAAAATATAACATGGGTTCTTTAACCTAGAATGGTAGCTCCTGATGGGGATTAAAAGTAGATAACAGAATTGGACTTAACATACTTTAGATACTGCAGAAGAAAATAATATATATATATTTGAATAATGATTATCTGAACAAATTCCTACCATGGCATTCTGACCCATTCAGAGTTTAAACTAAAAATACACAGCAAATATTTCCCCTTATGGATCTGTTGACTTGAAATTAGCTCCCCCAAAAGGTGGGGAAGTGACAGCCCATTTCATTCTAAGGCACATCAACTTTGTCCCCTCTCTTCATTAGTCAGGAATCTAACTCTTGAAAATGCAGATTGATGTGGATTTAATGGTTCTAGAAGCTACTTATTATAAAAATAGGGAAGAACACTGTCACTTTCAAAGACATCCACCAGTCATTAAAACCAAAAAAAAAAAAAAAATATGAATGAGCATTCTTTTCTTAATGTAGAGATTTAATTTTGCTGATTAAACCAGTCAGTTTATAGGCAAATCCAGGTATTTGGTTATGCCTTTAACATATTTCTGGTAACTTTTAGAGCAACTCTCAAGCATCTCACAAAAACACAGAAAATTGGGAAAAGAGTATTTCGGAAATGTCCATATTGCATATTAGATCAGTAAGTTCTGAGAATCCCCCAATTATGTTTTCCTACATTTCCACATGTAAGGAAATTTCCCCACAAATGGGAATAATCAGAACAAACTCTGGAGCCTCACTGATGTGGGCAAGCCTTGGAATTTTGATGTGAACTGACTTTGAAAGCCTGAATCAAGCACAGAAGAGAAATCTGGCCATGACTTAGGACAAGTAGTACGTAACAATGCCTAGTGGCTATTTTAATTATAAAATTTAGAACTATTTCAGGAAATAAGGCAAAGCTTCAGGTTAATATTGTATTTAAATTAAAGTTAGGAGCAAAAAGTGACTTAAGCCAAACCAGGGATTGATAGTATCAATATGAAAAATCACAAGTTTATTAATAATTCTCTTGTAAAGGTTGGACGTTGATTATTTTCAATAAAATTCTAGTTCATCATTCCAAGTGCCTAGAAAGGAAAGCATTAACTTTGGCCCAGAAACCTGCTGTGAAACTGGGCAGGGAATATTCAATTATAATATTATATAGCATTCTTTCTTTGAAATGGGGCCTAACGATCTAAAGAAGTCATTTCTTTCAAAATAAACAAATGATTAGTCATGATCATAAAGCACAAGCAGAACACTAACTAATGAGTCTGATGGTTTTTCTTCCCTGCTGCTTATGGGTTTTAGCAATAATTTGTTAAATTTATGCACAGTGAAAATATGATTCTTGATTGCAGCACTTTGGGGGGTTTAAACATTCCTTTCATATCTGAGCAGCAGAACAGGGCATATAAACTACTTTAAACATTGTATTTTATTTCAATCTTCTAAAAGAAGTTCCAACCTTCACATAATTCTGAGCTACGAACA